GACTGAGCAGAGGCCAGCAGAGCCACTGGGGAAGGATGAAGAGTCAGCAGAGGGGAGCTTGGACACTGACATGGGGATGGGAGATGCCTCTGCCATGACCAGGATACCCCTCATAGCTGAGGATCACTCCCAAGTGGTCCCTTCCTACTGCTGCACGTGCCTTGGTCCAGCCCAGAGGGTTGTTGGGTGCCAGAGCAGAGACACCCCAAGGCTTTCTCCAAACCCATTTCCATCCAGCTGAGGGAAAGCACCCCCTCTGAATGGAGGTCTCAGTTTCCAGCCCTCAACTCCTCTCTCCCACCTCCCATCTCACCCCCCACCGAAGCCAGAGGAGAGGGCAGGAAGGCACCAACGGCTGTGGATCCGGTTACCTGCGGCCAACAAAACCTACCTGTCCCTTCCCAGCCACTCCCCCTTCCCCCTCTCCAGGGGACACAGACCAGAAGGACCCCCCTGGCCCTCCCTGAGCATCGCTGGGTCGCTGCCCGCCGCGATCGAGTGACCAGATGGACGGTGGGCTCACACCGCAGCCTCCTCTGTGGGTCCCTTGTCCCCCCCTGAGCCGGCTGAGCTTTGACGCTCTGTCCCCCCGGGGCAGCCTTTGTCAGGGGCGTGCAGAAGGGCCCCTGTGTCCCTCTGATCCCCGCCGGCCCCACGGCAGCGCGTCCCCGGCCGGAGCATAAAGCTGGCTTTCAGGGACCCGGCGTTGGGAAACTCCCGGGGAAGAAGCAAGGGAGCTTCTTGTTAAACGAGGAGACAAAGCCACCTTGTTAAGGGGTTTACAAAGGCGACCATCTCCCCCCTTGCCTGGGAAGCTCACGACCGGCGACTCCCAACCTCACCGGGGGGATGGCTTTCCCTTTGGAAAGATTGGGAACATTTAATAACCGTGCTGTGCCGCAGCCCTCTGACCCATGTGCAGGGCCCAGGGCACCTTCCCCGCTCCCAGGAGCTGCTTGGAGCCACATGTCCAGAGGAAAATGGGAACCAAGTGCTCATTATGGGAAACCCTGAGGTTTTCCTGTGGGTGCACCATTGCTACCAGTGTCTCTGCTGAGGGGACAATGTCCTTGGTGCCCTGGCCCAGGGACAACCACCTGCACAAAATGACATGATACTGGGTAGCAAAAGAGGAGTTTCTGTCCTGCCTCTGGGAAAGGTGGGCTGGGGTCCCCTCCTACACACCCCACAGGTGGGAGATGGGACCCCAGGAAGGGATGTGAGGGGGACCACAGGACACAAGACCTCCCTGCTTCCTTCCTGCAAAGCATCATTCCTTTTCCTTTCATGGACCCAGTGATGCATTTCTTTGCCCAACAAAATAAAGTTTAAGCAAAAACCCAGCAGCCCCACAGCGGCTTTGTCCCTCTGGAAATTTTCTTTGAAGACCCATCTATTCTTACTATCTTTTGCAGGAAAAATCCCTGCCCCAAACAAGGTTAGCACAATCTTTGGCTTGACTCTTGTGCAATCTGATGGTGACTCAGCCTCTGATGGGCCCCTCCAGGTGCAGCCCACATCTGGGGGCTGCACACACCCTGGCCACATCTGAGCCCCTGGGTTGCCCAAACATATGCACTGTTCTGAGTTGTTCTTGGCAATCCACACTAAAATCCATGTGCATATTAAACCTTAAACCAGGCAATTACATCTACCTCCACCTCCAGATAAATGGGAACATTGATTTTGCCATAGGGATGCAGCAGCCAGAGCTGGCTGGGCAGCTTAAAAAAACAGGACCACCTGGGCCCAGAGCCCATCTGGGTGTGACAGACAGCTGGGCAGGGGAATGGGAGACCTGGCTCTGCTAGCAATCCCTAGGGATGGGCAAAACAGGACAAGTTCCAGGTAGGGAGCCCCACCAGGCAGCAAAAGCATTGCCACAGGAGCCAAATTAACAGCAAGGAGCTGTCACCCCTGCTTTTCCCTGGGACATGTGCCTGCTTCCCACCCACGCTTGCAGGTGGCACTTTGGGGGTCCACATCCCTCCTGGCATCATCCCCACATCCTCCTCCTCCTCTCCCTGGGGAAATGCCACCTCTGGAGGACACATCACCTTCTCTGAGCCAGAAAACGTGAGCTGTGTGGTGCCATCTGTGCTGTGTGGTGCCACCTGGGGTCCTGGGAAGCCTGGACATGGCTCCATACCCCACAGGGCCAGGCTGGAGGCAACTCTCCCTCCCTGGGACAGCAGTAAATTGGACTGCTGCAGCTTTAAAGAAGAGCATGTGCTCCTGGGCTGGCTGCAGGGCTGGTGGCAGCGGGGAGAGCCGGAGGACACCTGCGGAGATCCTGTACAGCTGGGGAAGATTAGCCTTTTCCACTAGACAAGACCCATTACCATGTTCCAATATACCATCACTTCCGCTAGGAGAGCCTGCAGATGAGATATCGATTGCGGTGACCCCGGACAAGCCCTTCCCCAGAGCCTGGGAGAGTGGCAGAGCGGCCCCAAGGCATGGCCTGCTGTGCAAAGAGGGGGTGCAGCCTCCCAAGGGCATCCTCAGGACCCCCAGACCCAGGGAACCAAGGGGCTGCCTGGAGCTTGGATGATGTGTGGGGGAACGCGCAGAAGAGCTTCGAAGTCTGTTCCCAGGGTCCCTCCAGGCTCTTCCCAGGGCAGCTCTGCCCCAGGAATGGGGAGCCCCCAGCCCATGTTCACGGCCCTTACACAGCCAGGTGGGCATTGCAGAAATGTCACTGTGAAAGCCCAAAATGCCTCTGCTGGGGTGTTCCAGGTGGTTCAGGAGCTGCTCACACTGTGCCAGTCGCCCACTGCTTTTCCCTCCAGGCAGTTCCAGCCCCTGGAATACCTTCCTGAGACACACAAGGGGTGGGTGGAAGGACTGTGGGAAACTGCAAAGGGGACAGTGAGAAACCACCAAATCATGGGAACTGGAAAGGTTGATAGCAATTAAAGTAGTAAACTAATTAAACACGTGGTGTGTGGTTCACGGCATCCTATCATTGCAGTCCCTGGTGCTGTACCAAGGGGAAGGGCAGGCACTTGGTGGGTCTCATCTGTCCTGTAACTCCATGATTTTTGGGAGGATTTTTCCTTCTGCAAGACTCACACTGGGTTGGACTTGGCTTTTTGAATACACTGAGCTCTGCCTCACCCACATGATCCACTTGCAACCCAGTTGGAAGCACCAGCTGGAAGCCACCACATGCTGCTCCTCCAAGGCTGACCACAGCCACATCCACCACAGCCTCAGAGAGCAGCCCTGTGCTTCCTGAGGAGCTGGAGCTGCCATGGCACACAACATCCTCTACCCTCAGCCAAAAACTTCACTGGACACCCCAGCAGGTGCAGCAAGAGCATCCTTGGATCTGGGCTCCAAAGGACTGTGGCACTGGAATACTGGAGGATATTCAAGACCTGGGAGTTAAATGGCTGTTTCCAGCTGATGATTTAAGCACCCAGGGGAGAGGTGGCCCAGCTGAGCCCTCCCAGAGAACATCCAGCATTTCTCAAGGTTTGGGGCACAAGAAACTGCTGCTGAAACTTTTTTTGTTGTTGTTGCTGTTTTGTTTGAGGTTTTTTCCCTCCCAAAAAAAAATCAACTCCTCATTGCACTGAATCCTTTCAAACTCCAGTTTTTCAGTGGAGAACTCTGCCATGGACAAGAATGGGCACAGGAGGGAATGCTCACAGCTCACAGGGCTACAACGTTGTCCCACAGGCCAGCACAGCATCTGTCCCTGGCATGCAGGACAGAAGCTGCTCTGTTCCCATCTTTTTGTGGATGATGCCACCAGGAGATGGTTCTTGATGAGGTTCCAGGCCCTTTTCCCCATTTGGGAGAGGGCTGGTGTGGGAGGAATAAAGCTGGTGCAACACTGAGCACCACACTGGGGTGGCTGGTCACCACAACCCACAGGACCCCCACATGCACCTGCCCCTTCAGCATGGACTTGCTGCCAGAAGTAACGGGATGTAGGGAATGGGGCACCCCTGCACAGCCTCCCCCCTTCCCTGCAGCCCACGGGCTCCACCAGCCCAGAAAACCATTTCTCTCCCCTCTCCTGACAGCCCTCCGCTGCTTTCTCCTCCAAAGATGGTCGCTGCCAGTAATAGCAGGGAAAGTCACATTCAAGCTGGGAAAATAACATGTTATTTTCCCAGCTGTGATGTCAGAGCTTGTCACACTTGCTGGCTCGGCAGCAGGGAGGGCAGGGCATGCCTGGACGTCCCCAAATGGCCACTGGGCCTGGCTGTCCCCTGGGGGCTGCGAAAAACGTGCCCCTTTTTGGTGGCAGCTCTGCTTTTGCTCCCCAAATGCATTGGAAAGCAGCACATCCCTGCTGCTGGAATGTGGCTGCCCAGAGCCCCACAGTCCTGCCAGGCACTGCAGGACACAGCACGGTGGGTGCATTGCTCCCAGTCCCAGAGGGCATCTCTGCTCCTGTCCCGGGGACACCCACTGTGGGGACATCCCAAACCGAGTCCTTCCCCACCCTCAGCAGCGTGGACCAGCAGCACATCCTGGGTGTTTGCATGGGCTAGAAAATCCAGTCCTTTCCTTTCCCCTTTCCTTTCACCACAGTTTTGGGTTTCCCTCCCTGAGCCATCCCTGCATCTCAGCCAAGTGCTGCATCCTGAGCATCGGTGACAGAGGGACCCGCAACCCCCCCAGGCAGGATGGGAGATGAACCCACTGCCCAGCCCGGAGCGAGCATTCCTTTCCTCCTCACCTCTCGCAACACCATCAAAGGATATTTCCCCATTTTTGCCTTTCATAGATCTGCTCTTAGAACTCACTCAAACACAGCCAAAAGGGTCAAATCCTCTTAACCCATCCCTGTCCTCCAGCTCACCTCTCCACCCCAGCATCGGGCGGGGCAACGACCCCCTCTCCCCACCTTCACCACAAGGTACCATCAACCCCCCGCGTCCTTCGCAGGCACTTAATCCATTACCAACTTCACAAAGCCGGGCCGGGGGAAGCGCCGGGCCAGAGCAGCAAACAAACGAGGCAGGAATAAAACCCGGCTCTCAGTGCCGGACCCGGCCGTGGCTGGGGGTTTATTTCTTTCCCCGCTTATCCTCCGATGGACCAAACCCTTTTTTTTCCCCCCCCCTCCCTTATTGGATTTCACTTGCCGCCCCATAACAAAGCCGTCACCTCCGCCGCGGCTCCGCTCCGGAGAGACGAGTTACAATTACAAATTGCCACCACAATTAGTGCTACTTCTTAGAGAAATTAGAAAGGGGAGAGGAAGGCTCGCGTGCGATTGATTGCTATTCATCCTGCTTTACGGTGACCTTGCTCTGGAGACGATGATATTCCTTCAGCCTGGAAACCGGGATTAAAAAAAAAAAAAAATTAATTGTAAATTAACAGTAATAACACACATTTCCTTTCAATTAATTTAAACAGAATGAGGGGGCGTGAAGAGCAGGCGTTTGTTAAGGCCTGTACAGTTTAATTATTTTTTTCCCCCCCACGAGATAATGTAATTAATTTATCTTAGAGGAGTAGGGGGACACCGAGGATGGGGGAGAACAAAGCAGTTAACAGGCAATGGAAAAATTAAGAGCCCATTATGTAAATGCAGCGTGTTTTACAGCCCTAGAGTTGGGGGGGGGTCTGAGAAATAAGTAAAATAGCGAGGCTGGCTGTGCTGGGGAAGGCTGTAATTAAGCAGGGCTGGTGCTGGGGGAGGCTGGTGGCACCCCACTGCTCAGGGGGAACTCAGGGGGGCCTTGGTGCACCCCCAGAGCCTGAATGGGGAAGGGGAAAGGTGCTGGGGGCTTCCCCCACACACATTGAGGAGGGTCCCTCTCTGCCCCACAGACCTCAGTGAGTTGATGTTGATGAAGCCGGTGGCGTCGGCAGGCTCGTAGTCCCCTTGCACGTTCATGCTGTGGAGAGAAAGGCACAGTGGGATGGGATTCCTGTGGGGAAGCAGGGCTGCCCTTTGGGAAGGGAGAATTGTGGGTGACCCCTGAGCTGGCTGCTTGCACAGGCTGGTGCTGCTGCTGCCCCTCATCCACTGCAGGTGGGTGTGGGGGGGCTCGGGGCAGCGTCCCAGCCAGCCTTGGGGAAGGGGCACGTGGCTCAGGAGCAGCAGAGCCATAGGACCACCCTGGTGGCCATTCCCAGGTTCCCCAGGCCCTGCTAGAGACACAGCCCCAAATTCCTTATGCGGTCCTTCATGTACATCATCACCTTTCCTCCCGTGTTCTGGCACCAAGCAGGGATGCTCACCCTGTCCTGGAGCCATGCCCCAGGTATGCCTGTCCCGTGGCAGGCAGGGCATTGCCCTGGAAAGGGAATGGAATCCTGGGCAGGAGACACTGCCCTGGGCATGGAACAGGGTCCCGGGCAGGGACATCCCCAGCACCAAAGTGGGGGTTTATGGCTGTGGCAGCCGGTGCCTTGGTGCAACACCGAGCACATCCCCCTCCCCAGAGCAGCAGCCACCCACTGAATCCCAACTCCAACGGGTCTCCTACATCCCCAAAACACACGGCTCGTTTCCCAGAAACCGCAAACCTGAAAGAAGGAAGTGGAGGGAAATAAAGAAGAAAAAAAAAAAAAAGAGTTTACAACGATTTTACCTCCCCTGACGGGCTACAGAAAAACCTCTGTGCTTTTATTTTTGCTCATTCGAGTGGTTCTGACCTGCTCTATAATTACGTTACTTTCTACCTACTGTGCAGAGGCATTTCCACACAGCTCTGCCTCTCACAGCTTTCTCTCGGGTTCCTGTGACGCCGTCACTCAAAGGCTTTCAAACCAGCGATGTAGAAATCAAAAAGAAAAGGAAAATGGTTGGAGACGCAGGGAGAATAAGTGCCCCTGCTTTTCTCTCCCTCTCTCTTTTTCCTCTGTCCCACCCCCCTCCATCCTCCCTTTTTTTCTTCCCTCTTTTTTTTTTTATTTTTTTTTTAATACTTTATTCATTTAATCTCTCCAAGTGAGAGTGCGAAGCATAATGAAGGGTTGGGATGGATTATTAGGAGCTGTTGATTTTGAGGGGGAGGGAAAGGGGGAAAAAAAAGCCAGAGAAGAGAAAGAGAGAAGATAATTTGACATTTACTCCGACTGATCTAAACTCATTCGGGTGTATTTATGGCTTATAAAGTGTTTAGAGAGATTGAAAGGGGTTGAGGGAGGGCTGAGGGGGGAGCGAGTGAGAGAGAAAACAACGCGGAGAAAAGGGAAAAGCCAGAGGGGGAAAAAATTAATATTGACTTAAAAACATGGCTCGTGCTTCGGCTGGATGCTGGGCCCAGAGGATGGTGCCACTGGGAATGGGATGGGATGTGACGGGATGGGATGTGACAGGATGGGATGCAACAAGGCGGGATGCGACAGGATGGGACGGGATTCTCGCTGCCACCACTCCTGCCCACCCTGGGCCCCCCAAGCCCCACTCACCTCACCAGCTCCTCGTTGTACAGCGACCGTGGGGACTCCCTGCCCAGGATGTAGACCTGGCCCTTGAAGACGGACAGACGGACGGTGCCCACCACGGGCTCCTGCGAGCGCCCAATGCAGTCCCGGAGGAACTCGCACTCGGGGCTGTGCCAGAACCCTGCGGGCAGGAGACAGGGTCAGAGTGGGAACGGGGCAGGCTGGAGTGCCCTGCGGTGCCCATGGTGGTCCCCAGGCTAAGTCCTGCGAGGCAGACCCTGGGTAATTCCTACAGGAAGGGATGGGAGAGAGCAATGCTGTGCTGGGACATCCAGGCGAAGCTCTGAGAGAGAGAACCTCATGTGGTCCCTTCCCGCTGGAGGCCCTTGGGATCCCACTGGGAGAGGAGGCCGGAACGAGCTGGTGGAGAAGAGGCCATGGGACCATTCTCCTTCCCTCAGGGTTGATCATGGAAATTAAGAGATTTGTTAAGTAGGTATGAAACAATCACTCAAAACCTACCATCTTGGGAGGGTCAACACCCCAAGCCCTCTGAGTCCAGACAGCAAGTGCACCACGGCCCCCCAAAACACATCCTGTGGGAGCAGCCGTTGGCATGGCCAGCCACAGAGGCCACCACAGTGCATGGAGGGGCTGTGGTCCTGCCTGCCAACCCCCATGCCCCTTCTGTCTCTAAGCAGGGTAATTAGCCAGGAAGCCCTTGGAGACCTGGAACAAAGCCTGGGAGATGTAGGAGGAGATAGAGGTGGAGAGAGAAAGAGCCCATTCACAGCCCTCCGGTCATCCCCAGGTTTTATCTCTCCCATCTCACTCCCTGTTCGAACACCGGTGCCCTCTCACCTTTCCCTTCCCAGCTGGGCTCCGGGGCCGAAGCCATTAAAGAAACAAACAATTTCTTTTGTTGTTTGGCCTCGCCAGCCCCCAAGTGGGGCCATATCCTGCAACCTCGTCCCTGGGGTCTGTGTGGCCCCGCTCCAAGACACAGCACCACAGCCCTGCAGCCTCTCACCCCCGAAACCACCTCCCTGAACAGACTGCCCTCAGCTGCCCCACCACAGCACGGCCGAGGGGCTTGGGGACCCCCTTCCCTGCAACCAGCACTGCCACGCCGGCAGGACCTCCGGCTCCAGGCAAATAAACCCCTGTTTTTGGTAACCACCCTCAGGTACAACTCTTCGAACATCGGGATTGATGCAGGGCTGCTGCATCCTTGTAAAAGTAAACCCCAGACACATTAAAATAATAACCAGCTGCTTAAATCCTGACTCTGACAGCTCCAGGTGGGAGGAAGCATCCCCCCCATCCTAACCCCCCCACCGCCAGATACTGGAAGCGATCCCCCTTAATGACCTTCCCACCATCCTGCCCTAATCACCGTGTGGGCAGGGGGACAATGGGACAATGGCATTTCCGCACCTGGATGTACCTGCCCGGATGGAACCGTCTTCAAAGCCACCCCTCCACAATGGGATCAATGGGAACAGGCGGAAGATAAACATTAATTCCCCTAAAAACATGGACTGGCTGCAATAATGAAGTGTTAAAGGAAGGTGAGCTCGAAAGCCTGGCCTCCAGCATGGGGATCCAGGGGTGCTGTTGGGGTTGTTCCTTGGATTCGGGATTGGCTGTCAGGGAAGTCTAGGACCATGCTGGAAATCCCTGAGGATTCAGCATTTGGAACAAGGGAAACAGCAGCCTTTGCATGGCAAAGGTAGGGAGGGAGAAGCGAAACCACGATCCCCTGAGTGGCTCTTTAACCTGGTGGCTGCACAACAACTGAGTGGTTAGAAATAAACAAACAGGTTTATGCCCCAACTAAAAAAAAAACAGTCAAAATAAAGGCAGCCCAGGTCAAAGTCTAACAAAAATGGCCAGAGACAGGAGCAGCATCAGAGTGTAAATGAGGGCAGGGGCTGTGATCTAAGGGAAAGGTAACCAAGACTTCTGCAGCCCCTGCAGGGCCCTAAAATATAATTTAAGCAGCAAAGGGGCTCAGATATTAAATGCCAGTTGCTGAGAAAGATGCAGGAGGGAATGTCCTTAGAGGGGAAGGTGACAAGCACAGGGACCAGAAAGTGCAGGGGAAACAGCCTGACCCAGTCCTGCTGCATCTGCTGCTGCCCAAAGCCCAAGATGCCAGTCAGGTTATTTACAGGGGATCTTCCCATGAAAGATCCCATGGGAATCATCCCAGCCCCTTGCAGTTAGAAACACCTGAGAAGTGATGGGAGGAGGAACTGAGAGCCCAGGAAATCAGAACCTATGGAAGTGTTGTTTGGATGGGGGCAGGAATCTCTCTACCGTGGGGTCTCCAGGGATGTCAGTTCTGAGCTGAGCACCCAGGTGTGGGCAGTAGGGGTTTGAGTCCACCTGTGGCATTTTGGGCTAATCCCACTTCCTTCAATTTAGCACCAGTGTCTGGGTTGGGGTGAATCCAGAGATCAATCCCCAGGGCAGTGATGATTCCCTTCCCAGGGTGCCATTCCCAGCCCTGGCAGCCTCCTGGCCCAGCGAGCTGTTCCCTGCAGCACAGGGGGGCTGAGCTGAGACCCCTCAAACTCAACCCACGAGCTGGAGCTGCGGCTGCTCCACAGGAGGGAGGATACGGGGCTTCATTTCTGTCCCTCACTGCAGGGGTGAGCCAGTGTCCCCTTATCCCTCCAGGCTCCCAGCCCTCTCCAGGCAGTGCTGTCCTGGTCCAGACTGGGAGCCCCTCCTGCAGCCCCAACCCGCAGTGCCCCTGTGTGGGCTGTGCACCACATAGCACAGCCCAGACCCTCCATCCTGCAGCCCCCAGCACCTCGAGGGGCCCCTGTGCCACACACCCCTGCCAGGGCATGGGAAGAGGTCTCTGGCTTCAAATCCCATGGCAGGGACGGCCATGCTGGGAGCTTGGGTGCCTCATACCCCAGAGTGTTTGAGTCCTTTTGAGGTGAGAGCAGACAGAGATGGAACGGGTTGGAGGTGAGAGCTGGGGAAAGGGGGGACAATGGGATGGTGAACTACATCCCATGAGACATCCAAATGTGTTTGTTGGGACGAAGTGGTGGCACTGGACTGGGAGAGATGCTGAGAGCATCACCTCATGGAAGACAGCATTGCCTCCCAAAGGCAGGCCCGGAGCTCCCTCGGCAGGAAAGCAGGCAGAGCATGGGATTGAGCTCAGCCCAAACCCATCTCTTCCCCCAGCGAGTAGCCTCAAAATCCACACCTGAATTTTACAACCCTGAGCACATGTACTAGTGGGACCTGCAACCTCCAGCAGCACCAAGGGAGGAGGAGGATGGCTGGGAGGAGGCTGCAGTGGCAGGTCCAGGCTGAAGGACCATACATACCGTTGTACACCAGCTCGGAGAATTTCAAGGCGAGCCCCTGCTTGATTTTCCGCACTTCCCGGTCCATGGTGAAGGCCTCGATATCTAAATGCGCGTGGTATAGGATCGTTCCCGCTGGGGTCTCATAGATACCTACCCATTTTTCCAGGCAGGGGGAAAAGCAGAAAAAGAGAGAGAAACGAATGAGACCAAAACTGTCAGCAAATGACAAAAAATAATGACTTGGCTGACAGAAGGAGCCGTGGTCGAGCGCATTCAGCCTCAGCTCGCCGTAAAATGCATCTGTCATTATATTCATGCTGGGGCCGAGACAGTCCACTCCGCACCTTGCGGAGAAAATTTCTAGATTCCCCTCTTTGAAGAGGCACTCTGACGAGGCTAAATGACAGGGTTTGGGAACCGATCCCCCCCACCCATCCGTGCCCAACGGTCTGCGGCTGAAAACCTGTAATTAGCGGAACGACGCGGGGCACAGGCACGGGGAGCGCGGGGCCTGAAGTACCCTCCTCTCCCCTCGGCTGGCGAGAAAGAGCCCCGCGCGTCCGCTGGGAAGCAACGAGGCTACCTGAGGGCTGGGAGGGAAACCTCCTCTGGGGCTGGCAGAGCCCCCCCAAGTCCCTTCCTGCTGCCCCCCCCCCCTTTCCCCTCAATGCACAAGGCCTGGGGATGGAGGATGCTTAATTGTTTCAGAAAGCTGCTCCTTTGTTACAGCCGTTCGGGGCTTGTTTTCTGCATAATGTGGTTACTTGGAGTTTAAATAGGGGTGCGGCCACACAGTGCTCCCGTCCAGGTCGGATGTGGGTGGAAAGGTGGTGGGGGAAACACTGAGTTGGTCCAGCAGGGAACACGTGTTGGGAAAGGCTGTAACCTGTCCATGGTCAGGGCTGCTCCATCAGCCTGTCTCCTGTCTGCCTGTGGGGATGGTCCCTTCCCAACACCAGGCAGCTGCTATGGTGTGGGAATGGGAATGGGAGAAGGTTTTGCTGACACACAAAGAAACCCTGTAAGAAAGCATCCCCAGTGAAGGGGATGTGTCCTCAACCAGCCCCAGCCCTGAGAGAGGGTGAGGGGAGCCCCCAGGGCAAAAAACCTCACCAGGCTCTGCTCTTTCAGTGCCCTGGAGAGTGGCACAGGCACATGTCCCATCTCAGAGTGGCCACAGTCCCACAGACAACAGGAGCCCTCTCTGCATGGCAGCCCAAGCCATTTCCATCAAACCCCATCCCAACCAGTGTCCATGATTCCAGGCACAGAACACGATCCCACTGTCCCAAAGGAGAGCCAATCCCTCCTCTCCAGCCACTCCAGTGATGTTGCAGCCTAGTCCTGACAGGGCTGTGGGAGCAGACAGCCGAGTTAACACCAAACCCCAGCTGTCCCCATGGTGGTGGCACAGGAGCACAGAGCTCTATGTCCCCTCCAGCCCCTGACCATGGAGTGGAGCCCACCACTAACACAATTAATATTCCCTCTTTTCCCCTTAGGAGGTGTTAAAGCCAATTTGGGCTGATGATTTGTGTATGTGCCTTGACCCCCACGTTCTGCCCATCTGTGGGTCCTAGAGGATGGGGGACCAGAGTGTGTCAGCCAGGGCAGAGGGGAGGGCAGCTGACAGCCACACTCCAGCGTCGCCGCTGCTGAGGAGACAAGAGACACCTTCAAAGTGACACTCGCAGCATCTCCAAGTGTCTGTTTTCATCTCCCCGTGTTTACAGGAAAAAGACAGAGGTGTCAGCACTGCAGCCCAGTGATGCTTCAATCACCCCATAATTACTGCTGGGGAAGGGGGGACTGGAGCCAAGGGGGGGACATGGAGGGGGCAGCCAAGGAGACAGCTGCTGCTACTTAAAATTTTCTAATTTGTAACCTTGGCTGTCACTTCACCTCCATCCAAGCAATTTTGCTGTGCTGAGTGCAGGCTGTCACTCCCAGCGTCATTCATGGGACAGGAGGGGATGCAGTCACTTCCCCAGGGAGAATGCTGCCCTTGGGAAAATGCTGCCCAAATTTCTACCCCTGGTCCAGGGCCGAGGCCAAGCTTGGCCTGATATGTGTTCATTGCAGGGAAGGGGTTTTACACTTTCCTGCTCCATCTGCTCAGTGCATCAACTGGGGGAAAGGGAAAAGGAAGGAGAGAGCCAAGAGGAGGAAAAGCCCCAGCCGAAGGCAGCACTCAGCTTTTGGCAGCGACCATCCCCTCCCTCCCACTTCCTCCCCACTGATTTCATTTACTTCACTTAATTAGCCCCCCTTCGGAGTTAAAAAGATAATTTGATAATGAGGATGTGAAAAGGCAGGAGAGGCAGGGCCGTGCTCCCACCGCAGCCCAGAGCCCCCGGCAGAGCCATGCCCCCCCCCCCCAGCCGGCTGCAGCTCCACTCCCTGGCACCCCATAATTAGCCACCTCCTCCCACTAAAACAAATATGGCAAAACCGAGTTAATAGGGCTTAAAAGGCTGGTGCGGGTGCGTGCCACGTGCCCCTCGCCCATTAGGCCTTAACGAAGTTCAATTAGGAGCTTAGTAAAAAAAATCAATGCAAATGAATTTTTCTCCTCTCCAACTCCTCGGGTCTGGGAGATGAGGGAGAGGAGGCACCTTCACTGCCACCTGCACAGCATGGAGGGATCAGTTCCTGCTGTTGAATGTGCCTCAGTTTCCCCAGCAGAGCCGGGGTCCCTGTGCTGCCCCAAGGAACCTGCAGAACCCTGAGTCAGTGGGGTCACCTCACACCACTGGGATTTAAGGGATCATCTCCTCCAAACCCAGCTCCCATCTCTTGCACCACTGACCCTAAGTCCACTTGGGGTCCAAAATACTCCTGGCAGTGGGGAGGTGGGGTCACCTCGAGCTGCCCTGCACCCTAAAACCCCTCAGGGTGGGGCAGGTACCCACAGCACTCTCCTGTTCCAGCCTCTTCACGTCCCAGCTCTCCACCTCTCCCACAGGACATCTGTTGGAGCAGATTTCTCAGGGGTTTTTCTTAATCCCAAGAAGCAAAATCAGGGGCAGGATCCTGCTCAAAGCAAGTGGGGGAGCCACCCCAAGGTCTTGTCCCCACAGGAAGCCCACCCCAAGGTCTCATCCCCACGGTGCACACCCAGCTGTCCCCACAACGCCCGGTCCTGCCGCGTCCGCCGGCGCACAAACACCACAGCGATCGCTCAGCAATGTCATGCAGCAGACAGACATGACAGTTAAATGGGGTTTAGAGAAATTATTAAATGCTGGAAGGGTCACTAGAGCGTGTCAGTGGCTCTTAAAAAAAATAAAATAGATTTTGACAAATTACTCAGCATCCTGAATGCAAATGCGCCGGCTGGCGTGCGCGGGTCGGGGTTGGGGCTTTTTTCTTCCTTCTTTCGGTTTTAATTTGATTATTCAAACCCAGATCAAATGATTTGGGGTTTTGTTTCTTGCCTTTTGCGGTGGATGCTCTTGTGAAGGGCCCTGTGGTGGGGAGGGAGAACTTGGGCTGAGTCTAACCAAAATATTTGCTGTTGCCCTGCACAGAGGGCAAGTTTAAAGAAAGGGAGCATCTAATTAGGTATTAACGAGATTTAAAATAAAAGACTGGGGACAAGGAGATGGGAAATGAAGCTGAGCCACCTCGTTACTTAGTTCTGCACAAGGCAGCTTGCTGCCTCCAGAGGTTTACAATGGAATTGATCCCAATGGATGATCAATACTAAGAGTCACGGCCTCCAAAATGTGTAGATAAATCAAATAACTATTGAAAAAAACCCTCAGTGACTTACATCAGCCTCCTGTGTTTTGTACCGGTATTGCAGAGCCTGGCACCCTCCAGGATCATCCTCCCACCAAACCCACAGCCTGGTGTTTTTCCCCCTGGGGACGGGTCTCCCCTGGTGGCACTGGGACTGCAGGGCTGGCGCAAACAGTGGCACCGGCAGCGAGCGGGCAGCTGCCATCGTTAGAGAGCAGGGAAAAATCTCTGTCACAGGGAAATCTCCATCAAAAGCTGATGGGGAGGGAAAGGTTAAGGGCTGCTGGGGTGACCCGAGCCACGGCCTCCCGGGGTTTTCCTTTTTTTTGCTGTTTTTAGGGCAGGGATGGCACCGCAGGCTCACCTCTGGACTTCATCCCGACGAAGCGGTTCTCCACGATGTCGATGCGCCCAACCCCGTGCTTGCCCCTGCGAGGAGAAGGGAGGTTGCAGCAGCCCCATCTCCACAGTGGGACACGGGCAGCTGTGAGAGGTGGATCAGAGGGGTGGACAGTGGGGGACAAACCCCAAATGACAGCATGGTCAGCTCCTGAGCAGCACTGGTGACCATCGGTAGTGACCTGGCAGCCATGGCACTTGGGCCACTGGAAAACAAACCAGGCAAGGAGACAGGACATGCCACAGCTCTATTCTCAACAGCCAAAGTAATTTTAAAACCACTTAATTACATTTAAAAAATGAACTACATGGAAAAGTTCATTCCCATTCACCACCAGGGGGATGAAGGCAGGGGCATGGAGGAGGATTGAGGGGGCCAGATGGCACTTAGGAAGAGCAGGTGCCCTCATGGGTGCTGCTGTATTTTTGGGCAAACCCCCAGGGATGGTTCTGTGCCAGTGGCATCAGAAACTGGGCATGGGGTGGCATAGGGCAGGAAACCCCAAAGGAGCTGCTGCTGTGGAGGCAGGGAGAGGACAGGGCTGTGGACCCACACGCCACATCTCCATGCCCCCAAAAAGCCAACTCTCCACCCAAATGGCACACTGAGCCCCCTTGGGCAGGCAGGGCGAGGTGAGATGTGGGAGCTGGGGGTCTGGGACTGAGCTGGGACCAGTGGCAAAGGGGTGCCCTGCAGGCAGGGGGTGCCCCAGGGACTCAGCCTCTGCAGTGGGCAGGGCAGCCCTCACCCAGTGTGCAGCTGGGGCACATGGAAAACGCAGAAGGGGTTCAGAGGACTTTTTAACCCTCCTCATGCACTGAAAGCAACACCCTAAGGTATTTATTCCCTCGTGTTCCTGGCCTTGGTGCCCAGCTCTGCTTGCTGGCATTTACGGACAACTGGGACCCAGCTGGGACCATCCCATGCTCACACTGCTGACCACCATCCCTGGGCTCATCAGGACGTGCCTGCTGTGAGCATCCTGTTTCCACCCCACCCTGGGTACCCTGGGGATCTGCCCTTGTCCCTGCTGCCAAGGGACAGGGTGGCACTCACGCGATGTCGTTCAGGTACACGAAGAGCTCCAGGGCCGAGGAACGAGTGGCTCCGTCCCCAATGTTGGTGACCTTCACTGGGACACCTGCGGAGGCAGGGAGCGAGGACAGGCAGGATCAGCTGGTGTCAGGATCCCCCCCGGAACATCATCCCACGGGCGTTAAATAGATGTGACAGATATGAACTCTAAATAACTTCTTAAAAAGGCATATCCAAGCTGGTGCGAGGGGGAGGCGAGGGGAGGGGGGACCCACCTCGGGAGAGAGGCGAAATAAATAAATAAAAAAAGCCCATAAAAACGTCACCCCCCCCCTTTTCCCCTCTCTTTTCCCTCTCTCTTTTTTAGGGCCTGTGAAATTGCAACCAGGCCCTTAACTAATTGAATTTCACGCTCCGCAATTGTCTTACAGCGCAGCACCTTCTGTCCCACCAGCCCCTGCCGCGGAGGGGGGACACGGTGACAAATGTGTGCCCCCCCCCCCCCCCCCTCGCCAGCACGGGGGGCGTCTGGGGGGGGACCCCCACACTGGGGCACGGCTGCTCGCACACGCACGCACACGCACCCCGCGGCGGGGTGCTCCCCGCCATGAATTAATTATTGCACCTTTTCTTCCCCCCCCCCTTTTTTTTTTTCCCCTTAATTTTTTTTTTTAAGGGCGCCGGGTAGGGGCAAAGCCAGGAGGGAGGGGGGGGGAAACGCTGAATAGAAAGAGGCATTTTTCTTTAGCGGTGTGAAATGAGCAATAAATGTATTAGGAAGCTGACAAGGGGGCTGCGGGGCCCACAAAGAAAAGCGGTGCGGAGTTGGAGGCTAATCCCCCCTCCATCTGCCCTCCTCATTACCATTTAACGCACTATCAGTTGCCAATCAGCCTCAATGCCTCCCTTTCTAGTCTTTATTATATAGGCGCCCGCAAGAGCCCGGTCTAGTGACGGGGGCTGTCAGCTCCCCACCACTGCCCCCCTCCCTCTAAACCCCCTATTTTCTAGGGGTTTATAAACTCAGTTGTAAATTGCTATTAAATGTAACTCGCGGCAATAATGAACCTTAAGCTGCTTCTCGGCGCGGGCCCCCCCACCCCGCGCCCTCCCCTCGCCCCGGCTCTTTCTCTTCGCATCCTCCGCCGGGGTATTGGCCCGAGTCCGCCCGGCGAAGAGCCGACGTTGTCGGGGCCGTTGTTGGTGAAAGCTGCTTAGCCTTTGAAATAGTTAATAATTAGATTAAAACTTCAAATAAATTAACTAGGGGCTGAATGGGCTGCTGGAAGGAGGAGGGGGGGGCTGCTCCTGGCAGGGGGATCGTTATAATGGAGCAGGGATGCTGGCGGCGGGGAGGGGGTGCCCCCTCCCAGCGGGGCTTCACCCCCAGCCTGGGCTGGGCTCGCTGCTGCTGCCAGAATGGATGGTGGCACGGGGATGGCCATGGCTGCTGGAGGTGGGAGATGCTGCCCAGTGTCCCCTCTCTGGTGAAGGCTCCGGGGCTGGGCCCTGCCATTCGTCCCCGTGAATGTGGTGGGGTGTCCCTGTCTCCTTCATTTAACATTCATAGTACCAAAGGCCAATCCTGCTGGAGCATCTCCTCGGCTGTCACACTGAACAGGGTCACCTGTGTGTTCCCAGGGCCACCTGTGTGCCAACCTGCAGGAGAGGGACCCTGTGCCCACTACACCTCGATGGCTATGGAGGGGACTCAGAGCCCTTTCTGCTCTCAGAGGGGTGCCAGCAACCCCCTGAGATCTAACCAGATCCTCTGCACAGAGCCCCAGTGTGCTGCAAGCACCATCCTCATCCCTGATGCCATGAGTTCACCCATGTGCCCCCACTCTGGAGATGCTTCTGGCTGCCAGGGAACCCTGGTCCCGGCTGGGAAGTGGGGTTTGTCTTCGTGGGGCCAAGGCACAAGGGTCTGGCAGCAAGGAGGCTCTTACCCCGCTCAAACTCGATCTCCAGCACATCCGGGGTGTCAGGAGAGGTGGCCGGATCACGGGTCTTCGTGTAGAGCCCGGGGGGAGCCTGATTCTGTGGGGAGAGGGAGAGAAGTAGGAGAGTCAGTGGCATTGCCATGGCCTACACTGCTGGCATTCCCATCCCCAGACTGCATCCCACACCCCAAAGTGAATCCCCCCTCCCCGGGGTTCATCCCCCATCCCAAAAGTGTACCCCACCATCCCAAAGCGCGGGACCAGGCGCTGGCACATCACCGGCGCTCACCGGGGCCCCGGGAACAAAGGGGTTGGAAGAATCAGCCAATTTTTCCCCTCAACTTGATCTCATCTTTTCCTCCAACGCCCCCACAGCTGGAGGCGGGATGGCTGCGGAGAAGCAAGTCAGGCAGGGAAAAGCGGGACGCTGGCAGCGAGCGGCGGGGCGGGCGGGTGCCCGCGCGTCCCCGCACCTCGGCCGGGCTCATCCGCCGCTGACCGAAAAAACTAATGAGGAGCCCTGACCCCAGCAGGTGCTCCAGGCGCCACCGGCTCTTTCATGGTGCTCCCGGGGTTAATACACACGGGGGAAAATAGAGCGGCAAAGCAAAAACCCATTTCAGAGCACATCAACCTTTATGTATATTGTTTTTTTTGTGAGATTTATAGGAAAGAGGCATCTTATCTCCATCAGAGCCAGGCCAGCGGAGGCTCGGGCGCCGACGGTGAATTGCCGCAATTGAAGTGCGTGCCAGAAGAAGGGGTGGGCTGGGGGTGGGAAATACAATAAAAGAAAGCTCTCCGTCCCAGAGAGCAAATGCTTTGCAATTTCACATGCCCCCTCGGCACTCGCCCATGATGGGACTGCACTTGCTGACCCCAAAATACTTTCAGATCGGTGTTTGCAAACTCCTGTCTCCAAAGGGACTCCCCACCCATCCGCAGCTCCAGGAGGTGGAGGGAAAACTGAGGCACAGGGCACCCAGGGCATGTGCAGCGTGGTGGAAAGGCAGGAAGCCTTTTAAAAGGTGGCAAACTGGTATTTGCCCACTAGACCCAGCTGGTGAGAGCTGGAGCTCTGGGAATCCCTGGGCAGTGGGGGCCTGTCTGCATCCACCCATCCACTGCCTGGCACACGCACCCCCTGTTCCTCCTCTCCTTTTTAAAGCACAGCTCTTCTCCTGCTCACTTCATAGAATGCTTTGGGATAGAAAGGACCTTTCAAGATCCCTTTTCCTCCCTTCTATTCCTTTCCAGCAAGGTAAAAAAAGACAAGGTATAAAGCAAGCTAGGGAAAAGAACCCCCCGAAATCCAACCAAGTGGTTGCTTTAAAAAAAAAATAAATTAAGCTTTTTAGAAGGAAAATTAATTTCTCTACAGAAGTTTTCGTCTAAAACTTTCAAAGATGGGCAGTAAGAATTTTAGTGAAAACTTCCATTTATTTTTCTCCAAACATATTTATATTTGCTGGAGCACTGCCAGCACCTGAGAGAAGCCCACCCAAACTGCAAGCACCCAGTCATCCCCTTTTCACCAGGGGTACCCCCCTTGCCTCACCCCAAGCCCCGGAGTGCACATCCCAACAGCATCCACAGCCAAATCCCGGGAATACAGACATAACTAGCCAAGCATACGGTGCAGCAAAACTCCCCTCAGTTCCCATTTTATGCCATTTTTGCCCCTTTCTCTTGTTTTAAGGGAGAGGCGCTGGCAGGCAGGCACATCTCCCTGTGCCCCTGCACACAGATTACACGGGCTGTGGATTTCAATTTTACATCGTCTGGCCTTTCCTAGCCCTGATCACACTTATTAACTAGATGAACCTGCGAGAGATGATGAAAAACTTTGAGTTCAAAAGGAAAAGACGGAGGAAGGGGGAGAAGAAATACCGGAAAGTATTAAAAACTCTTTACTAAACATTGGAAGTCAAAGTCAGGTAGTTTCCAATTTTCCGAGCCAACTATGAAAACCCCTATTAAATAAAATAACTAAATAGAAATAAAAGTGACATTTGGCTTGCATTCCATCATTACGGTGTGAGTCTGTCCTCTTTTTATTCTCTCTCCTAAAAGCACAGTTCAAATGACAAATAGTTTGTTGCAGTGTATCAATGCCTTCTATTTATCCCTCCCCGCAGGGGGGCTAGTCCTGCAATGTCATCTTTAAAGGGGAGAGAAAAAAAATAAAAAGGGGGGGAAAAAAAGGAAAAAAAAAAGGAAGAGTGTGTGGAAAGGGAAAGAGGGAGGGGGGGAAGAAAGAAGCAAGAAAAACGGGGCAAGAAGAGAAGAAATTGGAAGCAAATGGTCCATGAAGTAAACCATGATGCAGAGCTATCGATGCCGCAAATGGTTTATTCATCCGGCTGATATTGTTGTGCCCGGGACTGAATGAACTCTTTCAGAGTGCCATATGAAGTTAAAGCAAGTAAATTTCTATCTTTCTCCGCATTAGCTGCCTCATTGCCCTTCAATCGGGCCTCACAGAGGCAGAAAATAGCTCAACCATCTGCTTTCAAATCCCTGCGTTTGGCAGGTCCCGGGGGTCTGGGGAGGGGAGCCCGCCGTGCCTGGCACCTCGGATCCTGCCACAGCCACCAGGTGCCCAGCACTGCTTCCCGGGCCGGGGAGGGGACAGTGGTGACACCGCGCTCAGGGAAGTCACCTCCCAGCGCTGTTGGAGGGTGAGATGCCCAAGCGGAGGATGCTCGGGGACGGGGTCAGGGCACTGGTCAGCCCCGTTTTCCAAGCTGGCTGTGGGAAGGAAGCGGGCTTGGCAGAGCCTGGGGACTGGAGGTCTTCCGCTAGAGAAGAGGAGAGGCGCTGGGTGCGGAGGGGTGGGTCAGGACGGGCGCGGGTCAGTCCCTTGCCAGCTCCAGCTAGAGGCACGAACACCCATCCCGGTGCCAACCGCTCCCCTGGAGGAGAGGAGGCTCCACGGGAACCCGGCTTTGCAAAGCCTGACCCACAGACACCCCTCTGGAAGGCACCAAAGGGGGAGCGGGACCCCCTCTCCACCTTCCCTTCCTTCCCCCGCCGGAGGCACGCGTCAGCCCAGCTGCGGGGAGCCGGCTGCGGGCGCCGAGCTCCAGCGGCTCCTCTCCCTCTCCTCCTGCCTCCCCCTCCTTCTCCCCGGGTTGTCTAATTAGCGCTGATGGATAGTTTAAGTAGCCGCCGAGCGCGGTGACCCGCTGGAGCATGAACAGCGCCGGCAGGGCCAGCGGGCGGCCGGACCACGAGCACTGCTCGGAGCGGCCGGAGGGGTTGCTGCGCTTCCAGCAGCACCTGGCAGCAGATCCCAGCACCACCGCCGGGCTCGTGGCCCCGTTGGGAGTCAGAACTGGTGGCCCCATGGATGCCCTCAGTGTCTCCAACACCTCACCCATCCAAGGGCAGGTTTTACCCCACAGAGAGCGGGGATGGGAAAGCGAGGAGGGCTGGGCGAGCTGCAGGGGCCAGCCCGAACCTCCGTCACCAGCTCCGACTCTCCCACCAGCACCTCATCTGTCTAATTGCTCCTTTATTGCTGCCCCGCGACATTGTCCCCTCCAGTGTCACCCTGAAACGGTCCCTTCCCCTATTCATGCCGGCGGCAATTAACGTGCCGGGGGAGGCGGAGGGGCCGGGGCGGGCGGCGGAGCCTCCCCGCACACACGGACGGCCCCGCCGTGAAATTTCCAATTAGGCTGCAAACACACGAGACGCCCCCGGCCCCGTGGCTGCCACGCTGGCCGGGTGGCCGTGATCGATTACCTTGGGGTTCTCCAGGATCCCGGCTTCGTAGCTGCAGCAGGCAGGGAAGGAGGGAGAAGTCACTGTAGCACCTGCAAACTGCAACCCCAAACCCCACCGTGACGACAGCCCCACTCCCACCACCCCATGGATGGGAGTAAATATATGTTATGGATCTCCAGGGCATTTTAGCAGTAACCTTGCAAGGAGAACCAGGCTTGGGAGAGCCCAGGAGATGGATGCTGCCACATGGGACATGGACAACTGGGCAGAAAGTGAGGCTGGAGGTTTCGGGGTCACCCATGGTGAGCAGCTCTGGGATGATGGAGGTGTGAAGGGCCACGAAGGATGGAGGGGATAGGGGCCCCAGACCCTGTGTCCTCACCCCACAGAAGCTCCCCACCTGCCTGGCCACTCACCTGATGTGCATGAGGTTCTCATCCATGCTCCAGGGTGTCTGGGGTGTCACAGGCACCGGGATCCCATGTTTCTGCCAAGAGAATGAGAGTGGGGGTAAGACAGCCTGTAGGGAATGCCAGCCCCCACTGGCACAATTTCCCACCAGGATCAGCCCCAAAAGCTCAAAGGCACAACCCATCATCACCAACAAGGCAGCACAGAGCAAGCTGCACACTCGGGTCCCTGATCCCAGACAGCATCGGCTCCCACCACAAGGGCCACCTCGATGGGGATGTCAGGGACACTGTGTGGATGGGAGGACAAGGGCTGCCCCAGACCTGCCACAGGCTGAGAAGGGACCCCAGAGCACCCCATGAACCCCAGCAATGGGGACACCAGCATGGACATTGTGTTTTTCCTAGGTCCAGGTCCAAGATGGTGCAACATTCTCAGGCACGTGGTGGGACAGTGGGTTGTCCTGTGAAGGCCATGAGTTGGACTCAGTGATCCTTGTGGGTCCCTTTCAACTCAGGATGTTCCATGATTCTCCCAGTTGGGCTGCTTAGCAAGGGGAGGTGACGAGGACACAAATCCCCACATCCACAGGATGCTCTGGAGGACTGATGCTCTGCCATGAGGGGACAGCAGCACAAACACATGGCAAAGCAGCTGTGGAGGTGTCCCCCCGAGCCCGGGCACCCCGAGCCCACCATGCCAGGGGACAGGCGGCCCCACACTGGCTGCCTCCCCGGCACAACGCGCTGCACCGAGCCCGGCTCCCTAACAAGGTCACTGGTGTGCTCAATTATCCACTGACATTTCAATGGGGGAAATTGCCTGTGAAGACGAGGTGAATACGCAGGGGAATTAGCAGGAGAGGTGACGGGAGCAGGCTGACAACTGGAGCCAGCGGGGACGTGTCCCACCCTGCTGGCATGAGGAGATGGGATGTGCCGGCTGTGGGATGGCCACAGGGAGACAGGGGTGGAGATGGCAGCTCTGGGCTCCCACTGGGCCCTGATGTGTCTGTGTTCTGGCAAGTCAGTGTCATCACACCAGGGACATCAGCCAAGGGCCTGGCCAGGGACAGAGGAGCAGGGGCTGAGCAGAGGCTCCTTGTTTGCCGGGAAGAGGGGAAGGAAATGTTTGTGGTTGTTTCATCACAGTCCTCAATCCATCACCCAAGATGGGAACAAGGTTCTGAAATACCTCCTAAGGCTGCAGAGGGGCCGACTCAGCTCTGATCCTGGGGGTACATTGCCTCAGGTCCTGATTTGCTGGTCCCACACCACAATTCCATTGCGGGACCCCCTGGGACTCCCCTAATGTCCAAACCAATCTAAACCTTCCCTGGCACAACATGAGGCCATTTCTTCTCGTCCTATCACTTGTTATTTGGAAGAGGAGACAGACCATTGGCACACTCATCTCACCTGAGATATACAAATGTATCTTTCCGACCTGAATAATGAGCCACCAGCCCCAGCTGATTTATTTTCTCAGCCAGCCCTCTCTGCCCTCTGCCTCCTCCTGGCAGCCCACGCTCCCCAGCCCATCCTCACTCCATTTCAAAGAGGATCCTCCAAGTCCAGACCCATGTACCAACATCTACTGAGCCCAGGCAGCCTTGGCTGGAGCCAAAGGTGCCACAACCAAAGAGAGATCTTGTTCTCAGGTTCTGTCCCACCTGGTTCTGCCTGTGGCCATGGCTCATCCTGGAGCAGCACCCATGAGAGCTTCCCCCTTCTCATTAAGTTATTTCAGCCTCAGCTGGTTGTGGGGATGAAGCAGCCACTGGCACAGGTTGCTGCCAGAGCAAAGCTGGCTCCAGCCCCACTGCAGCAAGAGATGTGCTGCAGTGACACGGATCCTCCCTTTCCCTGGTACCAATGGAGCCCCAAATATCATTCCTCAAGCACCAAGGTAAGCACATGCAGATGCTCAAAGGACCTGGCCACACATCTCCCTCTCCCGAGCATGAAAAAGAAGAGAACCCCCCTTTTTTTTTTAAACACTAAACATAACCAGAGACTGAGAAGTACTAGGAACCCTCACCCCACAACCTTTCCTCTTGGAACTGGGCCCCAATCCATTTCGTTTCCCTTTCACCCTCCCCCTTCCAAACAAACAAAAAAACCCCACGACCAAAACAAAACCCCCCAAACCCAAAACACGTGTTCCATTTTCCATATAATAAAACCGCGGCGCTCTTAATAACTCCCCTACTTGACAATTTGTTTGGCAACATATGGAAAGCTCTCGTAAACTCGCCCCTTCATAATACAACGGCAGATGGCAAACACAATCCTCAACACGCCACCCTCTCCTGGCGGCCCTAATGGGCTCGGAGGGCTCCTCACCCCACGCCACATCCCTCCAGCTCCACACCTCGCCTTCCCAGAGATTACCCAGGCAGCTTCCACGGCAGCTATTTAAAAACTGAAGCAATTTTCTGGTTTATGCACAGAGCTGCCTTTTCCCTTTTGATTGATTGAGCAGAGTTGTCAAGCATTTCCATGAAGTCGCTTAAAAAAGAAAGGTACCCTGGTGGGCACATAAAAACCTGATGCAAAACTTCTAATATGTTTTATTGTAACTTGTACTTCAAAAAGGAAGGCACAACAAAGGTGAATGTGTTTGCTTTGTCTGCTGCTTAAGTCAGGGAGCTGGGACCCGTTTCCTTGGAAAGCAGGTTACCATTAATAGCCAGGTAATTATGGGGCTTTTAAAAAGGAAGGATGAAAAAAAAAAATAGAGGCTGGGGGGGGAGGGAACCCCAACCAGAAGGCTCCAGTGTGGTGCTGGAGGGATATTGTGCAGGGCTTGCTGCTGTCACCTGCCAAGCCATGGTGAGCATCCCGTGGCCATCCCAAGCATCCTGTGGCCACACTGAGCATCCCACAGCTACCCTGAGCTTTCCACAGCCACTCTGAGCATCTATTGCTGCCCTGAGCATCTTGTGGCCTCCCCAAGCATCCCACGGCCACACCACACCAGCTCCTACCTTGGCATAATCCATCAGCTCCCGGCGCCCAGGGAAGCGCTGGTAAAACTCGGGCAGCCTCCACGGTGCAACAACCTGGTGGGAGGGCAGGAGCATGAGGTGAGAAGCCCCCAGCCCTCTTGTAGCCCCTGGGCCCCCTTTGCCCCTCGGAGACAGGATCCACAGGGTGTTGGTCCCCCAGATGAAATTTAATCTTCCAGCACAAGGGGGGAGTAACCCAGACCCCTGGCCCTAACCAGGCACTGGATGCAGGGGGGAAACAGGCAGCATCGATTATCCAGCAGCTGCCTTGATGCTGTTTCCTCTGTGGTCCCGTGGTGTTTGGGGTAAAAATAGGTCAATTAAGGATCATTACAGCCCCCTCAAATGCCAAAACGTCGCTGTGTGCAGCTGGTAGCTTGTTAAAGTGAGGCATGGCCCCTTGCCTCGGTGTTAAAACAGAATTCCCTACCAGCTGGGGAGAGGCCAGGAGCCCAGGGATGGGATGATTTTAGGTGCCTTACCTTGATTTTGGGACACAGGGCGTAGCAGGTGAGCTCGAACCGAACCTGGTCATTGCCCTGAAAAGTGAATGGGAGATGCTGAGGAGTCACCCCTCACTAGGGCGGGCTGGGAAGTGGGTGCCCCCCACCCTGATCCCACTGATGGGGGACAAGATCTCATTCCTGGGCCAGCTCACACAGGGCCATACAGCATCCTCAGGAGAGGAATGTTGCCTGACAGGGACACAGGTTTGGATTTGGTGAAAGAAACGGCAAAATTAGCAGGAAATTTAAAAAAAAAAAAAAAAAAGCAGGAACATTAAAAGTGCAGATGACAAATCAGCAGCTCCCAGCTCTGCTACAGCCCCAGGGTTTTGTCCAGGGAGCTGAGAGGCTCAGGGGCTGCTGGGTGAGCACATGTGTGGCAGTGCACACGTGTGGTGGTGCACATGTGTGTAACAACAGACACATGCAGCCTCTGAGATGCTGCTTGGCTTCAGTCACAGCTCCCCTTGCGACACCGAAGACCTCAGGCACGGTGGGCAAGGATCCTCTGTCCCATGAGGTCTCTCCAGATCCCTCTCCATGGCTTGTTTTAACCCCAAACCACCTTTCCTGAAGCTCTGCTAGCTGGGCATTCAAAATCCCTGTGCAGCTCATTCACCAGGCTCCAAGGGAGACAGGCTGACCACAGACTCACCCAAGCCCTGCTCTGCCCTGGGCTGACACTCCTGAAAGCTGAACCAACAGAAACCCAGATTCAGGTATTTTTGCCCCAAAGGCATCAAAGGACGCATGGAGAGAGAGGGGAAGGTGGGAGAAAAGACCGTGGTGAGCAGGAGGATTCAGTAGCTCATAATTAATTATCTCTGAACCTCCCTTTACCTTAATTGGCCCGTGCTGATGAGGTACAGCTAACGAGCCCAGGTAGCTAGGAGGGGGTGAGGAGGGAGGCTGGGAATTATTAGCACCTCCAAGGGAACAGCACTCACCAAAGCCTATTTTTCACCCGCACCAAGGGGCAAACAGAGCCCCCCTTCCCTCCTGTCGGTCCCGGCCTGAAGGATACATTTACAACCGGCCTGGGAATTCCCTAAGGACTATTACACTCAGGCGAGTACATCCACCAAAGTACTCATTTCCCTTACAGGCCCAAAACACGTCCATCTGCTCCGGCAGCGGGGACACCCCAGATGGTCCCATTTAAGACGCCGCAGCCGGGTCGAGTTACCCGCGGTCGGTCCCTGCCCGTGCCCGCAGCTTAATGGCTTGGGAAGCAGGAGCCACCGAAGGTGTCCCAGCCAGCGGGGACGGCTGGTGGCACCCGGGAGCAGAGGGGACGTCATCTCGTTGTGGGTGTGTGACTCCACGGCACCGTTTAGTGGGGGCTGCTGGGGATGGGTGAGACGGACAGGAAAGGGGTGCAGGGACCCCACCGCAGGAGGAGAGAGAATTATTTCGGTCATAAAGCCCCCCCAGCTGCCCCTCTGCCCCATCTCCTGGGTGCTGGCACGAACCTCGACAGCCTCCCGGCTGCAGCGAACATCCCCCTCCTAAGCAAGGTCCTCTGCCATAGCTGGGGACCCCAAAACCAGCCGCCCCAAACTCACTGTGACACCTTGAGGGGGTCACCTCGCCTTGCCCCTGGGCCAGGATGGGCACGGGCTGCGCTTTGGGTCCCCGTGGGAAGGGGGGAGGAGGTACTGGGCACGACCTGGGTTCACCCACTGAGCCCTCACCTGCGCCAGGTGTCCCTGCCTGGGCTGGGCAGCGTGCGGGCAGCGGCTGGAGGGGCTGGGGGTGGCCCACGGTCACGGCTCGCAGGTTCCACGCCCCCGCCACGCTCCCCGCGGGGGATTCCCCCTCTCCGGGGCAGGGACTGGCCCCGAGCATCTCCTTTCTGCGGTCTCTGGCTGCCTCTAGCGGCAAAGTGTCGTCCCTGCGTCGGTGGAGACAGCGGGGATGGGGACAGGGACCGAGACAAGCGGGATAAAGACGGGAATAGGGACAGGGACCGGGAGAGCCAAGGATGGGGACAAGGATGGGGACAGGGACCAGGACAGATTGGGATGGGGACAGGGGCCGGGACAGCCAGAGCTGAGGACAGGAATGTGGACAGGGACCGGGACAGGGACTGGGACAGTCGCGTGTATCCCAGGATGCTCCTAAACACCACGGAGGGTGCTGGCTCAGTCCCAGCTGGCTCCTGGCCTGGACAGCCCCAGTCTGTAGCAGCATTTTCAAGCTGCTGCCGAAAACAGGGTGTTCAGCTCTGACCCCAGCCTTCCCGATAGGGAGAGGGAACCGAAATCGGGCACAGAAATCCCAGAAGCGAGAAGGAAGTGTTGAAACACGGCTGAGTTTTGCACGGCCCTGCAGAGCACCCACACAACACGCCGTGCACCCAGAGCTTGGCCAAGGGACCAATCCCTGCCCTGTGCCCCCGTCCTCCCTCACCTTGCCCGTGGCCCCGTGTGCGACGTGCTGGGCTCCCTCCCGCCGGGCGATCTCCACCTGCCTGCGGGCGATGCAGGGCCGGGCCAGCGCCGTGCCCAGCAGGTACCGGTCCTCGTAGAGCGCGTTGGCCTGCACTGCCGGCCAGATGAACTCCTCCACAAACTCCCTGCTGATATCCTCGATGTAAACCTGCAGGCACAGAGGGAGCTTCCTGGTGGGAGGGCGGCTAAGGGGAGAACCCACTCCTCTAGGGATTTGGGGACCCTTTGTGTCCCCTTTCCTGGATGCTGCTAAAAGGCTTTGGTGCAAAACCTCTGGAAAAGGGATTTCTCACTGGCGCTGTCCCTCCTCCCAGCAATGGGATATGTGAGACCCCGGGGCTTGGCCCCCCACCAGGGAGCAGGGGGAGCTCAGAGCCCCCGGAGGGAGGGACACTGTTACCTTCTTGGCCCCCAGTGCCAGCGCTTTCTTTTGTGCTGCTTCAAAATCTTCCTTCTGCCCAATGTTAGCCTGGAAAGGAGGAAAAAATACCAAGACTGAATGCAAAAGGAGACCACAAAACCCGAGTGCAAGCCCAGTCTGGCACAGGGCATCACGCAAGGCATAACAGAGCCTGTGCTGGCTGGGCTTGAGGCCACCCAGGGTGGGCAGGAGGGGGGTTCCCCCCTGAGATGGCCATGCACCCCTCTGCCAAGCCCTGATCTGCTGCCCTCATTAGCAGAGGGTCATTATCTGGCAGGGACAGGCTGTGCCACACAATCAACTCAACAGATGAACACCCGGGCTGGGCAATGGTTAACCAGTGAGACCAGGATCACCACTACAGCCACACACACACCAGGAGCCCTCTCACCCACCCAGGTCCCCAGACTGCAGCTCAGCACCCCCTCCACCCCCAGCCCCAGGGACAGGGTTCCTGTGATAGGGTTTGGAACAGAGCTCACCATGTAGGCGATAACATCGTAGCCTTGCTCCTTCAGCCACACCAGGATGCAGGAGGTGTCGAGGCCCCCGCTGTAGGCGAGGACCACTGTGCCCTTGGACTGAGCCATAGTGCTGACAAAGCAAAGGAAAAAGGGTTTGTGATGCCCTCAGCCCCTGTTGCAGCCATCAGGAAGGATCAGTTGAACCAAGAGCCCTCCTGGGGCTGCAGGGAGCAAAGGGAGGGCTGGGAGCAGGAGGAAAAGCCACAGCAGCATGGCCACATCCAGGCTGCAGCTCCCAGCCGGGGAGGACACCCTGCCTGTGCACCAGCCAGGGCACCCAATGGTGGCTGGGCGACGGGAGGACACCAGGGCACCCATCAGAGCTGCTTTGCTCTTACCTTTTCTCCATGCTGACACCCCTGCAGCAGCCTGCCCTGCGCTCTGCAAGCACCCTGCAATGCCAGGGGGCTGGAACTCAGGCGCAGGCACCCAGCCATGGTGAAGGCACAGCTCAATGCCTTGCTCGGGCACGACCCAGCACATCTCAGGCCTCTGCAGAGAGCCACCCACCACCTCAGCCCCAAGTGCCCTCTGGCACTGCTGGGCGTGACATGGTTGCAGGGCTGAGGGGTTTGGAACTGTCCCCCAGAGCCCAGCCCAGCCCCAAGTCTAATTAATGCTTATGGTACATTTGTCCTGATTACGCTGCCTGTGTTTTCTGCCAGCACAAAACACCTACGTGGGGATTCATTGCCCCTCACCCTCCAGACAAGGATATCAAGGATCTGAGACAACAACAGGAGACGGTGGAAGACGCCTGGAGCTCAGGTGGAGGGATGGAGATCCCGGGCAGGAAGGGGCTCTGTGGCCCCAGGGCCAGGCTGTGAATCCCAAGGCCCCAGGAAGAGGCGATGCCAGCTGACCCTTGGCCGGGGTAGGCGGATGGCAGAGCCGACCAATTCCTGTCCTGAGCAACTTTCATGCTGCTGCCGCTGCCAAGTCAGCACAATCCTGCTCCTGCAGGCAGGGAAGGCGCCCTGCTGGGCTGCTCCTGGCTGGCGCACCGGCACCTCTTCCAGAGGGATGTGGTTATGCCGGGGTGTGCCCCAGCACCCGCATCCTGCCAGCATCTCACGGGGCACGGCTTGGAGCCACCCAAGAGCAGGATCTGCCCGGCCACCGCCAGGTTCGTGCTGAGGAGAGCAGAGGGGGTCTGGCAGCCCCATAACCTGCATCCGGCTCCCTGAGCCTGCCCGTGCCCGTCGGGCTGCCACGCAGGCAGCACCCAGTGCCCAGGCTTGAGCAACCGGCGTTTCCCTGCTCGTGGGGCCCCGTGGCCGTGCCGAGCTGGGTCCCTGCCCAGGGAGGTTCAGCCGTGCCTTCCTCGCCGGGGCATTTACAGGAAGGCAGTCGCAGTTCCCAGAAGGGCCCAGCCCAAGCGGCTCCTTTCGAAACTAATTCCTCCCTTTACCCCCCAAACCCATCCCTGCTGTGGCCACCAGCATCGCTGTGGTGGTTGCCAGCCTGACTAAGCACCTCTGAGACCGGGCACGCTCGCTCCACGAGTGGCCCAGCAGCGGTTTAGGGAAACACCTCCAACTTTTGCCTGCTCAGACATGTCCCCACTGCCTACAAAATGCCAGAGGTGCCCGGGGGCACCTTGCCCTGGAGACGCGTCCTGCATCCCAGAAAGGGTGTGGGGCCACCAGCATTCCCTGCTCTGGAAATGGGGCTCGTGCCAAGCCCGCCTGCCCAGGAAGGGAGAGCCCCGAAGTTTCAGTGTTAGGTGGCAATAAATCAGAGCAAACAAAGCTCAGTGAAGGGGAACACGGCGGGACTTTCTCAGCCCTTATTATTATTCCGTAGCAATTTCCGTGTGAGTTGGGGCAGGGTTTGGTTTTTACCAGAGAGAACTCTGGCTGCCCTGCTCCAAAGGAACACTGGGCTTTCGGTTTTAAAAACAAGGAAAAAGAAATATATAAAAAACGGAGGAGAACAAAAAGCTCGAAACTTTGGTAAAGAAAGGAACTGTCTTTGCCAGCTGGGCTGGAAGAACTGCTGAGATGCTGCCTGCGGGCTGGGATGGGGCAGGGAGAAGGGCAGGGGCAGGCAGGAGGGGCAGGAACAGGCTTCCCAGGGTTTCGTGAAGCAGAGGCATGCAGGGATGTGCTCACTGGTGCTGGGGTTTGTCTCAGCATCGCTCCTCCACCTTGTGCAGGTCCCATCCTGCCCCCCAAAATCCCCAGCACAGAGTGGGGAGGGCACAAAGTGGTGCCAGCTGAGGTCCCAGCTGCCCTCCCTTGGGGTGGGTGAGGGGACTCTCAGAGAAATGGGATTCACTTGGAAACCCCCCACCCCAAACTGAGCTAGGAGGGGCTTGACTGCAGCCTGCACAGCGCTAGGAAGGGGCTGGAACCCCACTGCCCTGCTCCAGCACCCAGGGGGTGAGGGACACCCGTGAGTGGGTGGAAATGGGACAGATGGGGTGAGGGGACACATTTCCCAAGGCAAAGGCCCCCTTTTCCCTCTCCCTCCCATCCCATGCCTGCACTCACCCACTCCCGGTGTCCGGCTGCCCTCTGTGCTCCGGTCCGGTGCCTGGAGCATCCTCCTCCTCCTTTATAAGCAGGGCTGGGCAGGCGGAGCCGCGGCAGGACAGTCCCCCATGGGCACTGGTCCCCGGGAGAGGCCCTGTGCTCCGCCTGCCCGCGGGATACCCGGCAGAACAGGAGGAGGCAGCTGCCCCCCGGCCGGGATGGAGCAGGTGCCCAGTCCCAGCCCTTGTATGGCTGCTCTGGGTGCTGCCTTCCACGTTCCCCCAGTCCTGACCTCATCAGCAGCCTCCCCTGGAGGACCCCAGGAGTTGGAAAATGGGGGGCAGAGGGGAGCCAATGCTCTGCAACCATCTGGCTTTCCTCCCTGGACCAGCAAGAGTTATTTGAATTACTATTGGATTTATCTGAAGCTTTATCAGGAGATGCAGGAGCCTGAGTGGGCAGGAGGGACAGAACAAACCCACCTTTCCCCCCTACACGTGCCCAGGACACCCCAGACCAACAACAGACCTGGCCTTGAGGGACAGGAAAGCCCCATCCCAAAGGACAGAGACTTCTGGGGGAAATCTCAGTGCCTGCACACAGGTGCAGCAAGAGCAGGCTCCAGTGATGGGACCACAGCACCCTCACCTGGGTGCACTGCCACCATCCCACACCAGGGACTAGGACTGAAACAGTGTTTTGGGAACAGCCTCTACCTTCACTACGTGCAAAGAGGCCACATCCTGCTCCTGCTGACCAAGGGACCAGATGCTGGGGCAGGATTGGACCTTCAGAGGCTGGACAATGTCTGGATGTGGCAATCTCCCTTCTATGGTCCAAGGCCAGGCAGGGAGGTGTCCAAAGCCCCAGGAATTCTGGGCGGCTGCTGTGGCAGCCCCATCCCACATGCTGAAAGAAGCTGCTTTCTTCGGGCACAGGTTGATATTTAGCCACAAAACACCTTTATAAATCAGTAAGTGTGCACAGAAACCAAGTGGATTTAAAAAAACTCCAAAACCAACTATTTCAATTTAATACATGGTTAATGCCAGGGTGCCCCATGCCCTCCCCAGGCCGGGGGATCCCTCCCCGCACCCCTGGCTGGTTCATCCTCCCACCCCCACACCTGAGAGCTGATCACAGCCAAGGCCACCCAGAGCTGTGTTTGCTCTGGGATTTGGGACCTGATTGCAAGAGGCTGGTGGGATATCTTGTCCCTCCAGGGACCCTGCTGAGTCAGGGATCATCAGTGGGTGGAGGGAACACAATTAAGGGGTGAGGGGGTGTCTGGGAGAGAGGAGAGAGGTGCAAGCTCAGCGCTCCCTGAGCCACGTGCCCCACCCGTGCAGTGGGGAGGGACAGGAGGAGAAATGACCTGCGTCCCCTCCTGTCCCTTGGCTGTGTCAGTAGGGGTAGGGAGAGACGGAGATGAGGAGGAGGAAGATGCTGGGTGCCCTCTGCCCGCCCGGGGCCAGCGCCTGCACCTTGAGGCGGTGGGTGCCGGGGTCCCGCAGCGGGCGCAGGGTGGAGATGACGCCGCGGCCCCGCTCGGTGCGGAGGGTGAAGGGGCTGCCGGGGTCCTGCTCCAGCAGCGTGAAAACGGGACGGTGGCGGAGGGCGGAGCCTGGGGTGAGGTGCACCACATCCCGGTGGGCAGCGATGCCCAGGGGCAGGGTGAGCAGCTCGTACCGCAGCGTGGGGGCACCGGACGGGCCGCAGGACGGGGCACAGCGGCCCACGCACAGCCTGCAGGGGAGAGGGGGGAATGCGGGATGTGGGGGGTGTCAGAGAGCAGGCAGGACACCTGGCTCCACAGTGACACGAGGAGCATGGAATGGACACCCCGAGCCCCACAGCACGACTCACCCCGGGCTGGAGCCTCTCCAGTACCCGGCTGGGCACGGCACATCAACACACTGGGCACCTCCACGGGTGTTGAAGCACATCTGGCTCGAGCCACACTGGATTGTGCCGTCTGCACACTCGTCCGTGTCTGCAGGGAGAGAGGGAACAAGTCTGAGGGTACTGGGTGCCCACAGCTGAGGTGGAGGTTCAAACCCTGACTCCCACACCTTCCCACCCCTTCCCCGGGCTCTCAGACACTGGGGCAGCAGGACAAAAACTTAGGCTCTGCGGGGTGCTGAGCCTGGAAATAACCCTCCCATAGAAGGAGAAAGACTTGCAGCCCCAGAAAGATGACACCCAGGGCACTGTGGGGACTGGACATCCCCCTGGTACCCCCACACTGACCATGGCAGGTCTTCCCATTGGACAACAGCTGGTAGCCAGGGGGGCACAGGCAGTGGTAGCTGCCCAGGCTGTTCCTGCACTCGTGCTGGCACTGGTTCGACTGGCACTCATCGAGGTCTGTGAGGTGAGAGAGGTGAAGGAGAAGCATCAGCCCCCTCTGCTGCCCACTGCCCTGGGGCAGTCTGACTCTCCCCTCCCTTTCCCGGCACAGCCAAGACCACAGGGTGCAAACAAAGTGTGGGGGACAGGGCAGCAGTGGGCACAGGAGTTACTTTTTGGGGACAAAGTGGCCTGTGAACAATCTGCAGCACCCTTCCCTGACACACACTCACCAGTGCAGGTGCCATTCCTCTTGACATAGCCTGTGGGGCAAGGGGGGCCCCGGGCACCCGTCCCTGCATCCTTGGCCACGCGGCGCAGGGCGAGCTGGGTGTAGAAGGACCGTCCCCATGGGTGGCTGCTCGGCCCCAGCCAGCGCAGGGGGGTGTCCCGGGACGTGCTGCCCACTCTGTCCCCTCCATCCATTCCTGCTGTGCCACACTGTCCACCCGGCAGCAGGGTCCTGCCAGGGGGGCACAGGCACTCGTAGGAGCCCCGAAGGTTCCGACACTCAAAGGCACACGGTGGGGGAAACTGCAGGCACTCATTGATGTCTGGAAGGAGAAAGAGATGAGGAGCTGCAGCTGGATGGGGAAACTGAGGCTATAGCAGGGCAGGGGGGCGACCATGGCCCTGTGGCCAAGTACATGTCCCCTGAGAGCCCAGCTCGTACCCAGGCATGGCCAGCCAATGCCCAGTGTGCGGTAGCCGGGAGGGCAGGGGCAGCGGTAGCTCCCTGCAGTGTTCTGGCAGAGCTGGTTGTAGCGGCAGGCGTGGGACCCCTCGGTGCATTCATCAACATCTGGGCAGCAGAGAGAGGACAGGGTTGGGGGGATGGGAAAGTGGCACCACGTGCCCTTCGCCACCCTCATGCCCCCCTCGGGAAGGGTCCGTACCAACACAGTACAGCTGCCCAGGGTCCAGGATGAATCCCAGTGGGCATTGGTCTCCATCAGCCCCTGGGATTGAGCAAAGAGAATGAGAAGGGACATGTCACTGCAGGGACATGGTGTTTGCACCCTCGCAGACGCCCAGGGATCCCAGTGTCTCCATCCCCATCCTTGGGACTCCCCTCATTACCTGCATCAAGCGAGGCACGGAGCTGGAAGTGGAGCTGCTCTGTG